ACACCTTGACTTTAGCCCCTTATGAAATCCTAAGAATTCTTATCACAAAACAAACAAAACAATAATTATATGATGTGATAGAGGTGTTAGCTAGCAGTCCAACCACATGGACTGTTGACCTACAAAGCAGTGAGATAATAAACAGATTTATTTTAAGTCACTGAATCATGGTAATGTGTTCCTAGCAATAAACAACTGACACAGTATGTATGATATAGTTACAATAAAAAAAGTTTCAGTAAAATGCAGAAGTGTTTCCCACAGCCTCTAAGCTCTATATTTATAGGCTTCAGAAAGGTTTCAAGTCAATCTCCAGAGCCATTAGACCATATTGATCTTATTATGTATGTCAGCGTATAGTAAAGAGATTGTCAGACAATTAAGAATTATCCATGTACCCTTACAGAGGACCATGTATTTCTGCTTATTGTACATGTTCATTGACTTCAAAGTCCACTCAGAATAAGTCATACCCTAATCATGTTCCCATTTGAAAGCCCTTTATTTTTGGAGAGAATACATGATGGATTTAGAAATGAGAGCATAAACACTGAACAATTACCTTCCCAAACAATAGAGATAATGCTCAGAGTCTGGTCATCTATAATATTCTCAATTTAGTACATTTGTAAACAAATGCCAACTTAAAAAACACAGTACTACAAAAGACCCAAACAGACATTTTCCCCCAAAGAAGATAAACACATTGTCAACAGACAAGAAAAGCTGCCCAACTTCACTTGTCATTAGGGAAATGCAGACCAAAACCACAATGAGCTAACCCTTCACACATGTTAGAATGGTTATCATCCAAAAGATGAGAGATAGCAAATGTGGTGAAGATGTGGAGAAAAGGGAACCCTTGTGATCTGTTGGTATAGTCACTACGGGAAAGAAGCACCGTGATTCTTCAAAATATTAAAAAATAAAACTACATATAATATAGTAATTCCACTCCTGGGAACATATCTAAAGAAAACAAATATACTAACTCAAAAGGATAGCTGCTCAACCATTAAAAGAGTAGACCTTGAGAATTCTCATCACAAGGAAAAAAAGGCAGTTGTGGAAGATCTAGAGGCTTCCATTCTGCCCCATATCTTCTCTATTTACATAACCTCTTTTCTGCACCTTCAAGTATCAACTGAACATTTGTAATAAATTTGGGAGAAATAAAGTCAGAATGTATTTGGATACACTGACATCACAACTCTTGGCTCTCACAGGGATCAGCTGTATGAGAAAAGAATAGCAAAACCCTGAGTAAGAACAAAAACAACCATGATGCTTAATTCTTTATCTGAAATTTGAAATCAGTACAACAGGACACTCAACACAGAATAAGTACTGATAGAAATATTTAGAGAGGCAATCACACAAATCTAATCATCTGCTCTTCTATTGACCAATGAGCATTTATTGAACATTTACTGTGTTTGAGAAAACTGATCTCAAACACTAGATCAATAATTCATTGCTTAAAAGTATATATGGTCAATATAAATTTATTTAATGGTAAAGTTAATTTCCTTTTATGAAAAGATGTAAATATACAGATTTTGTGTGAATTCTATCAGTTGAAGACAATGATTTATATCTGCCTACCATCATTAAAATAAACACCCTAAACCTATTTGCAGTAATGTTCTTGATGTAATCTCCAATAACAAAATTATAGACAATTACAATCAGATATTCCTAGGAAGTTAAACAGATTTTTTAAAATTAATTAAAAAAATTTTTGGCACTGCAATCTAAATATATGTTTGCTTAGATATTAGTTTTAGTTCCTACATTTTGCCTAATGCTAAATACAATCTCATTAGATGGGGAATCTTTTTTGTTGTTGAAATTTTCTAGTGCCTAAAAGGAAAAGACAAAGGCATGGTTGGCTTACCAAAGATAGCCAGAGCAAGAACAGCCAGAAGCATGACTGCCCATGAGCTCTCAATAGCCATGCATGTGTTTGACCTTGATCCCTGTCTGAATGGTGAAATCAATACTACAGCCCTCTTTTATGTACTCTGAGAATTTTTTGTTGTCCCTGCATTCTTTCTGCCCATTGAAGAGTGAAAAGAGCATGTTCATCTCTACGAGCCAAAAAGGAAGCTGGCTGTTTTTCAGGTTTTGTTTAATTTGGGGTTTGGGACAGGATGAGGTGAATGTGTTGAATAGAAAAGTGAACCTTTTATTTCCTGAGGGTGGTGAAACTGTTATTGCAAAGGTTCAGTTCCAATTGCAGTTAGTGGTGATTTACAGAATGGAATCACAGAACTGTCTACATCTCTTTTCAAAGGTTATATTTGTACAAAGTAGGAAATTAAGATGCTTTTTTTTGTTGTTGTTCAGCAAGTATTTGCTTATGTCTCTTATGCTTATTTGCATAATCCTACTCAAGGTTATAATACAATCGGCCAAGCTCTAACTATACTTACAGTATAGATAACTTACAAAGAAACTAAAATTCAAACTACAATAACCTTTGTTCTCCTAAGAACAGTTTACTTTTTATTTGAAGGAAGCAGTTTCAATGAGTTTGAAACTAAATTATCTAATCGGGAACTATGAGCTTCAATTTTTTCCCCCTTAAGATTTATAGGTGACCTTAATTATTCCATACTGACCACATTTTTTTTTCTTTTTGCATTAACAAATCAAACACCAAAGAACTTATATTAGTTTCCTAGGGCTGCCATAGCAAAGTACCACAGATTGGTTGGCTTAAAAATAGAAAGTTTTGCCTCACAATTCTGAAGGGTAGAAGTCCAAAATCAAGGTATTGGCAAGGTTAATTCTTACAGCTGAAAGTAATGGATTTGCTTGAAGCCTCTCTCCTTGGCTGATAGATGGTGTGTGTTTCTCCCCCCCCTCCCCCCCTTCTTTACCAATGTTAAAATCTGGTCACCTTAGGCAAGCCACAACTTGACCTCAAGTATTCAGGCTGCTTCTTGCTTCTGGTAAAGGCTTTTTCCACAGGTCTCAAAATTTACTGAACAAGCTCTGAATCAAAGACAAGCATACACCCCACACATTCACAAATATTCCTGCTTTTAGGGTTTGAAGTGTGGTTTCTTTTAGATTATAGGGATCTTTTCTCCCTTGATATGACAATTTTGTTTGACTTAGAAACCTGGAGTGCTGCTGCCAACCTGGGCATTACTGAATACCAAATTCCAGAGGACTTTCTCAAGTCAAGCAATCCATCAGGTTCCATAGAAATTACACTAGGAAAAGTAGGAAATAATGCACTCAAATTTTAAACCATGCTACTTATAATGCACTCAAATCTTAAACCATGCTACTTAAACCATGCTACTTGGATTAGAAAAACATTCAACTCACTCATAGTTCCTTATAAATGACCTGGAGAGTGTTATGCTAAGCGAAATAAGCCAGTCAGAGAAGTAACATGATCTCACTCATATTGGAGTGTAATGAACAAAGTACACTGTTAAACAAAATAGCCCAGAGACATAGAAACATGGAACAGATTGTGGAATCTTAGAGGGAATGTGAGGGGTAGGTGGGTGGAGGGATGAGATCAACCAAAGAACTTGTATGCAAAAATGATTATCCTGTGAACACAGACAATAAGATAATGAAGGCCTGGGGTGGGGAGAGGGGGCAGGCTAGAAGGGGTCAATAGGGTAAAAAGGGGGACATATATAATACTTTCAACAATAAAGATTTTAAAAATATAAAATGTATTAACTCCTTAAAAAAAGAAATCACACCCACCTGGCATGTAACTCAGCAGCAGAACACTGATCCGGAAACCAAGAGGTCACCAGTTGGATTCCCAGTCAGGGATGTTTCTATTTCTCTATCCCTCTCCCTTCCTCTCTCTCTAAAAATCAATAAAACACATTTTAAAAATTCTAACCCAACTATCAATTAGATCTTTTCCTAGGTGAAGTATTCAGCCATTCACTTTTTCTGGTTCCACTGAAGAATCAAATTATTTCAGTGTTGGAAAAAAAAAAATGATTTACCACCATTTCACAGCCAGCTTCATTAAAATGTCAATAATCCTTTGGAAACCCATTCATCAAAAACAATGCAATGGGAGTCCTTGTTAAGATAACTATAAAAATGTAAATCTTCTAAGGAGGAGGTAAACTTGAGTAGGTAGCAAGGAGCTCCTTATTAAAAAAAAGAACAACAACATAGCAGTAGTCCTGCTGCATGTGAATCAGTTGGCTGAATGTCCTCCTGTGCACTAAAGGGTTGTTGGTTAAATTACTGGTCCAGGCACATACCCAGGTTGGGAGTTCAGTCCCTGGTCCCTGATCAGGACATTACTGCCTCTCTCTCTCTCTCTCTCTCTCTCTCTCTCTCTCTCTCTCTCCCTCTCTTTCTTTTTTCTTTTTTTAAAATATATTTTATTGATTTTTTACAGAGAGGAAGAGAGAGGGATAGAGAGTTAGAAACATCTATGAGAGAGAATCATCAATCAGCTGCCTCTTGCACACCCCCTACCGGGGATGTGCCTGCAACCAAGGTACATGCCCTTGACCAGAATCGAACCTGGGACCTCTCAGTCTGCCAAACCGTTTTTCGGCTCCTCCTCTCTTTCTAAAATCAATAAAAATATATGACTAAGAGGGGAGGGGTTGGTCCACAGTTGGAAAACTACATGCTTGGGTAGGTGAGAGCCAAGGGGAATGATAGCTATCACTAGATGAAATTAAGCATAACCTATAGTTTGATTTATATGTGTAGCCAGTTGAATATGGAGGGATGGGGGATGTTGTAAATTATCAGATTACCCAGTAAAGATGGTTGCTTTTCCCCCCAAAAAATAAAACAAGCACCATTTATTTTGACATATTTTATTTTCATGTTCTTTTTTTTTTTTTTTTTTTTTTTTTTTTTGCAAAACCATCGATAAATACTTAAATCTCTTTGTCTTAAGACACAAACTTTGCATAATTGACACTAAACAAGGCATTATGCCTTACATGAAAGACATGAAATGTCCTAGGGCTATTTAGTTCTTAAAGCTTCAACATTAGAAATGCTGACCACGTACTGTGAAATTGTTCCAATAAATAACAACTGACATTCTTTTAAATATGTACAAAAATAGATGCACACATACATCCCCCTTCCTTTACTAACTATTGTCTGGATCCCCCCATCCTCTATCATAGCAGCTGGCACTGCTGTGAGATCCTCAGAAATCCTACTCTAATGACTTAGAGAATATTTGCAAGCATTTTACCTTCAAATTGAATAAGAATCAGAATGGTGTGAACCAGGGTTCGCCATCATATAAACAATAAAAAATAACAGTGCAAGGCCCACGTAGAGCCAATGAGATCCTTAATGATTTCACATGTAAGCTATTAACATAGAATATTTGAAAACAACCAATAAATAAATAAATAAATAAGCAGAAGAATTCTCCTAAGAGATGCTCAAGCATGTTAAGTCCAGTCGAGGTGGCTCTAGGGGATGATGATTCCTTTTTTCCTCTTTAATTTCTGTAGGGCAGGGCCTGCTTCAGGCAGAGTCACCAATCCTGCTTCCTGCTTCCTCTGGTCAGTTGGAGCTGCTCCTATAAGGAGAAAAAAGGTGACCTTAGTAGCTGCCCAGAAAAGCCAGCCACACAGCACTCTCCTCCTGCCCTCTAGATTCCCAAGTCTTCTGAATCAAGTTTTCCTGACCTGCATGAAGTGCCTGCATCTAGACTGTGTGGCTGAGACCTCTAGGCACTTAGAAGCTCTTATTCAGGAAGCAGGGGTGATGGTGTCTGGACTCCTTACCACCACCTCTGCATTCCTAAGTAAGGAATTTTATTCCTAAAAAGGTGAACTGTTGACTGCACACAGCCAGAACCTCTTGGGTGGGTGAGTGCCAAGGGGAGTGACATGGGATCATCTGTCACACTTGAGCGCAACCCAAGTAGTAGCTGCTAGTTTTCCCAGTTTTACTGAGCCTAGAGAAGCTAAAGTATTTTCCTTGAGGTATATGGCTAATAGGTCTTCAAACCCAGATTTGTACTCAATACATTGGCTCTGCAAAGCCCCTGTTCATCATCATTCACTAAGATTTGGGGCCTGTGATGCAGAGAAACAAGGATTCTGCTTTTCAGGGTTGAAGCAGAGAAAAAATTGGGGGAAGGAGGGGTTGGGTAGGGGCGTTTAACAGGTGGGAAGCTTTTTTTGCATAACTGCCCAACCCCAATGAGAATTATAATGAAGGGTGCTTTACCCACCTTCCTCGAAATGGGGCTGGAGAGGGAAAGACGGAGTGCTCTACATCCCTGGAAGTATCCTCCTGGACCAAAGCTGATTAATTACCAAAATGGCAAATCTAATTGTGAAACAATGACTTGTCCCTCCTTCAGCTAACCCTGGACTACCCTGATACAGTCTCAGGAGGCAGATGCCAGCATCTATCCCAAAGGACTCTGGTCACATAACTCACTTCTTTAACAGCTTGTCCAGTAACATCTTAACCAGGGGGGATGCGGGGTTGAGGCAAACTTTCTGTCCATCCTTGTGAGTGGCTCTGCAGGCAGAAGGGAGAACCCAGGTGAGACAGGAGGGCGGGCTAGGGCCAGGGTGGGGACATCTGCACAGTAGGGGTGACAAGGATGGTGGCAGCAGCAGAGCTTGGTGAACTTACATGACTTCTGTTTTGTCGCAGTAGGGTCCAGGGGAGGTCACCTTCACACTCTGGAAGTTCTTGAGGTGAATTCTATCCAAGTTCTCCAGGCACAGGCAGCGCAGTTCTGGCGCTGCTGCGGGGACAAGAGGCTCGGTTAGCGGGGACCACAGGCTCTGTTAGTGGGATGCCCCCCCATGGGCGCCCACCACTCATCACCCCCCTTCTCCTCCTGGGGCGTAGTTTCACCTGCAGTTTGCCGGCAGGTGGCGACCAGGAGCAGGAGCAGGAGCAGGAGCGCGGCCCGGAGGAGCCCGGGAGCGCGGGGTGCAGAGGCGGCGGTGGCGGTGCGGGCCATGGGGCTGAGCTCGGAGGATCGGAGGATCGGTGCTGAGTGCGGTGTCTGGAGTGTGAGAGCTGGTGGCGGGAGAGCTGGTGGAGCGAGATCTGTGGCTCCCCGAGGCAGACGAACCCCTTTTATCCATGCTCGAGGCGGAAAGCGAGCAATCCCAGGGCCTGGAAATTCCGGGACTTGCATGCGGGTTCCCTGGTCAGGACGAGGGTGTGGCCGCCCCTAAGGGGTGTCAGGGTAGGGTGGGTGGGGCGGGGGGGGGGGGGCAGCCGAGGCTTCGACCTCACACATGACTAAGCGCCCTGGATGATGCTCTCTTTCTGGCCAAATTCCCAAAGCTGAGGTGAGTCGCTGCCCTGCAGGAGCTGCTGTCTGGGAGGGGGACCATGGGCGCCCAGTGATCCCAGTGCGCAGGGTGGAGAGGGGCTGGGGGAGGGTCCATGAGGTCCTCCCTCAAAGGTGACACACTGTTAGAGGGAAAGCTCTGTGGCTTTAGTTACAGACCTGGGGGAACCAAGGAGGGGGGTGGGGGACATCTTACTTAGCTATCTATATGTGTTATCTTTACATGCATTCCTTGTCTCCCTAGATTTCGGGTTTGTACCTCTTGCTCTCTGTTAAAAAATACCCCAGTCATCTCGGATCCAGAGAGGAATGTTCTACCTGTTCCCTTGTTTTATATTCTCAAACCACTCTTAGCATACCTTTGTTTTGTTTTCCATCTGGTGATAAGAAGGATCCCTGTCAAAATTTACTCCAGTGTTAATTTCAATGACAATTGAAGGCTGTAATATGACCTCTCCTGTATCCTTCTAAAGCTTCTTATTCCCTCTTTAATGGTGGAACTTCCAAAATTTTTGGGAGATCTCCTTTCCCACAGGAGGGGTTCTGATTGGAACTCTGGCATGCCAGACTGAGGGTCACTCTGAAGCTTCCCAGGGGCTGGTCCGGCATGCTCACCGCACCACCTTCTCTGTTCTGTCCTTGGACAAACTGGCACCTGGACATGAGGATGAGGGACCTGCTGCAGCCTCACTCCGGTGCGTGGGGATGAAGCAGGGTTTCATTTACTACAAGAACTCAGTGTTGGTCTCCCTTTCTCTAGAAACAAACATGGACACATCTGTGTTCTGACCAGGAATTTCAATCTTTAATTCTCAAATAGTAAAACGTTGATTCAACATGAGGTACAGCAGATTTAATTTTTTAAAAATATATATATTTTATTGATTTTTTACAGAGAGGAAGAGAGGGATAGAAAGAAACATCGATGAGAGAGAAACATTGAACAGTTGCCTCCTGTACATTCTCTACTGGGGATGTGCCCACAACCAAGGTACATGCCCTTGACCAGAATTGAACCCGGGACCCTTGAGTCCGCAGGCTGATGCTTTATCCACTGAGCCAAACAGGTTTCTGCAAGGTACAGCAGATTTACATGTAATTCTCCAGGTTGGATTCAGACCTCTTGGAGGCATGGTGTAACGGGAGGCAGGGTAGGAGAAAAGAATGGCCACTGGCCCAGTGATGCGTGTCCAGGGACAGGGCTCCGGGCAGCCCAGCCTAGTGGATAAGAGTCTGCACCCCATGACCAGCCACTGGGTATGCAGTGAAGCCACCTGTCACTTACAAGGTAAATATTTCTTTGCCTTCCCTAATGCAGTTAAGGGAAATGAGTCATCTGTGAAGAGCCAGCATGGATTAAGTGCCTTATAATGTTTGTTAAATAAACTGGAAATAGGTCTTTTTTATTTTCTCCCAGCTTGCTGAAATAGAAACTCAGGCTGTGTGAATCCTATAAAGAAATAAAAAAATCATGATGAAAGGTTCACTGCTCAATTTTTCTTTTCACATTTAAACTTTTTTGAACCAGGCATTTGAAAAGCAAGGCACATCTGAATACTACCAGGAGATGCATTTATCTGGATATATATATTTTTATTGTAGTCCCACTTTCAGTCATTTCATCTGCAAAAATGCAGTTTGCATTAAAGACTCTCCATCTGCCATGACTGGTTTGGCTCAGGGGATTGAGTGTGGGCCTGCGGACTGAAGAGTGCCTGGTTCGATTCTGGTCAAGGGCACATGTTTGGGTTATGAGCTTCTTCCCCAGTGTGGGGCATGCAGGGGGAAGCCAATCAATGATTCTCTCCCATCGTTGATGTTTCAATCTCTCACTCCCTTCCTCTATGAAATCAATAAAACATATTTTTAAAAAAGACTCTCCATCTTATTTATTGAAAATGATTTACAAAATGCATGACTAACTTTAAAAAAATTCTAGTGTTTATCAATATGGTCCTGAGAGAAAAACAAAGTAAATGAAAGAGACATAAAAACTTGTGTTAAGCAATTGGAAAAGAGAAACAATTTAAGGCTTATAAAATATATGATAGCTCATGGGTAACCAAGAATTTGTGTGTTTATTCCTCTTGTTATAAATCATTTTCTGGAATTTGATGGGAAACTGGCTCAGAAGTACAAAAGCCATTCTTTAAAACTTAAAAGATGTGGGGTTTTTTTGGCTTGTTTTCTAATTGCAAGTTTTATACCAACTCATTTTATAAAGTTTATAAAAGTCAGAAAGATATGAAGAGATTTTTTCCCCCTCTAATCCCTCCTAACTTCTCTTTATGGAACAAACTTTAACAGGTCACTAAAAATTTTTTTTTTCAACAAACTTATTAGCTGACAAATTACAGAAGCTTACAAGACTGCATGACTATGAAAGAGGCCACTTCCTTTATTAATTGCCACAGTCCATGGGCAAGTTACTTAACCTCTACACTCATCCCAACGCACAGCACAAATACTTTGTGCTAAATTCCAGGTGGTCTTCTAACAGTTTTACAAATATTGATTCATTCAATATTCCAAACCTCCCTGTGAAGTAGTTATTATTGTTTTCTTTATGGGACTTTAAGGTTACAAATAAAGAACTGAGGCACAGAGAGGTTAAGTAACTTTTCTAAGGTCACAGAATACTGAGCCTGATTCCCAAAACCAGAGACAATGACATTTAACCATTATGCTATGATGAAAACACTCTGTGATATATGGGTAAGAACTTCCATAGAGAAATGATTTTAAAAAATTGTTATTTGCTTGATTGAATGGTTCAAATTTGCTTATTCTAAAATGCAATCATGGCAAAATGGTCACACATCTCCATTGTTTTATTTTACTAACAGAACAGCTCTCTCCTGTAGCATTCCTATAGCTTGTTAGATTTTCTTAAAGTGTTCATTTCTGATCATAGTAATAGTAATCTTACAATGGCATACTCTGTGGAGAAGTCTGGCAAATACCCATCCCTTAACTACATGATGAAGGTTAATATCATCAATGTGATGTCAGATGGAAATCATGTACCCACTAGTACGATATGATAATAAGAAGGATACATCACCTCTTTGGTATATTTTTCTAAAAGTTCATAAACCAAGTCTAACCATGAGAACAACATTCTTCAAAACTAAGTGGAGGAATATTAAATAGCTAGTATTCTTCAAAACTGTCAAGGTCACAAATAGTAGGAACAGACTAAGATGCTATCACAGTTCAGAAGAAAGTATGGAGACATGATAAATATGTGCATCCTGAAGCAGAAAAAGGACAGTAAGTAGGAAAAAAATGGTAAAATCCAAATAAAGTTTGGAATTTTATTAATAGTAAGTGCCATTGTTGGTTTTTTAACTTTGGCAAATGTACGATGGTAATGTAAAATGTTCGCAATGGGCAACTCGGAGAAGGTTACACTGAAATTGTACTATCTTTTCAACTTTTGTAAATTTAAAATTATTTTAAAATGAAAAGTCTACTTTGAAAAATGTTTCCCTTTCTCAATTAATTTAGAATACTACCAAAAAAATCAGTGAACACGCATGATTTACATCATAGCTTCCTAGAAAGGGAATTGAATTTTTGTTGAGTTCACATTTTTCAAACAATCCAAAATATATGCTTCTCCTTTTTGGAAATTTCATCATGTTTCATAGGCATGAGTAGTTTGTCTTCAGCATTAATCATTATGTCTAAATCTCTCCATTTCTTGTAACAGAAAAAAACACACTAAGTGTTTGCTGTAATGGTCTCCAGACCCAACCCTCAATTGAAGCAAATGAGGAATACATAGGGAATTCCAAATTCCAAATTATGAATGGAAGCTTCCAGAAAATTAAAGGAAGCCTGTCCATCATTTGTGTAGATTCAATTCCTGGGAATGGCTTCATCAAAGTTACTTGTTTTCAAAAATGAAATAGAAAAGTTTTCTTCTCAGTTGTTGTTAGTTTCTTTTTAACATGTCATTTGAATCCATTAGATCTCCATCAACTAAAATGTATAAATATTTATAAGCACAGGGATGGGTAATCTAGTGCTTACTCTCTTGCTCAAATAAGTGCTTCTACAAGACAATGACTTTTGCAAGAGTTGATTGTCAGGTAATTAACCACAATCTTTGAATCCATGCAATGGCTCTTAAAGAAATGGAAGAATCATTAAAGTGGAAACTTTGGGGATTAAATCCTTTTTGCCCTGTAATCATTATGAATCTTTCAGAGTTGATATTTAGTACAATCCAAGATAATAGCATCTTCTAGATTCACTGTTTTGCCCTGTCATTGCTACATCCACCAACTTCATGCAAATGTAAACTTGAAGCTCCTCACCTCAACTGTACCAGGTATCATCCTGCCCTAAAGTTTCTCTGTCACTACCATGGAAAACCTCTTGCCCAACAAGGAACAGGAGGCAATCAGTGAACATTTCCTCTCC